CGAGCGGGGGAAGGTAAGATGCACAATATTTTTTACATAAACAAACCCCAAGCATTCTCCAAAATGACCAGCTTTTGAGCCTCTGAACGGCAAGGTCATAGCTGTCCCCAGCTGCCCAGCACCCTGCGTGGCCTCATCGACTGCAGAAGGACAAAGTGGAAGTAAACTGAAAATATACTTGGAAACACTTTTTGGTAACCACTGCTTCTGGTTTCACTCCCAGACCTCAGATTTCAGAAATGGAAGCAGACAGACATCAGTTGGGATTTCCAAGACACCCGCACATTTCAATACCGGTCAGGTCACAAGAGCAGTAGGTTTGAACAAGAACGACTTCAAAATAAACCAAACCTTATCAGTTGTATTCCACGGAATGAACCAACTTAACGTATACCCGGCGAGGAACACCCTCTTAAAACCGTGTAAGAGCTTGACTCGGCTCTCAAAGGCAGGAGAATCTTGCCAAGGCTCTTCTCCAGGAAGCGTGATCCAGCACAAACGGGTTAACAGAGTTAACATCGCTAAACCTAGAAATATTTTTGGTATCGTGTTCCCTCCCCTTTTCCCCTGGACAGAAGCCCAGCACTGGGGACTGCAGAAAACAACTAGTCCCAAATGTTAAAGCAATTACAGTTAATAGAAATTCTTCGCTTTCTATAACTGAACCAGGCTGCTTTAGAAAGCGTTGTAACAATTAGGAATAATATAGTACAAAGTTACTGAGAAAAAAGATGAACTATGACCTGTTTAGACTTTGAGGTACATCAACAGCAATTGGGTTTTCAGTCTCCAGACCCTGGATGCAACCAGAGTTCTAAAAAAAAAATAAATTAAAAATCCAACCTGTGCGACTGAATACCACCAACGTATTTGGAAGACATCTCGTATATCCCTAACAGCTTTCGACAGCGTCGGACAGGATTCAGCTCCACCGCACCGCTCCAGCGGATTCGCAGTGTCCACGATCACTTAGCTGGTCTGAACTGAGCAAACTTTACAAAAAAACGAGTTAAGTATAAATAATTCACAAACTGGTTTGTGCAAATTTTTTTTATTTCCACATTTATATCACAATGTGTCCACTTAAAGGACCAAATAGCAAAGTTGCTCCCTTCTGCATCCCAAGAACACAGAAGTCTAGTTACTGTACATTCACTAAGGCTCTTTGTTTTTGCAAATTGCGTTTATGATGGATATCCATAAGGCAAACAATATCTAAAGGAATGGTAACAAGTATATTTCCAGCATACAAACAGGCTTCCTTTTTCCCTCTCACAGTACAGTTACAAACTTGTAGCACCCTCATTACATTTAGATTCTAGAAAAGGTGATTTTTCTTTTTTTTTTTTGTTTTTTTTTTTTTTTTTTTTTTTTTTTTCTTTTCCTAGAAGTTTGCAGGAAGGGAAAAGGAGGAAAAATATTTGGCTGGTGGTGGTGGGATCAAAAATATCGTTAAACATCTAGTTTTTGCAGCATTTCTCAGAGACTGGATTTAAACTGAAACCAGACTAAAATATGTGGATGCCCATGGAATGTTGAGCTGAAGCTGGTCGCCCAGCCTGCAGTGCAACACCTGCTGTTTAAAACCCAATCTCCGTACCACATGACTTGGAAAAACGCAATCATGTTCAGAGATGTGATACAAATAAAACTACAGTTTTTGCACATTGTCTCTCGAATATCTCACTGCCAAATAAAAACCCAAATCAAGTCAAATAAATAGATGCATATTTTGTTAAGGTAACTTCCACAATTTTCTCTGTACCTGCCTGTAATAAGATTCCGGCATTCAGAAAGTGCTGGAAATCCTCTTCACTTCTTGGGGACTAACACTTTTTTATAGCTGGCTCGCTATAGAGTTTTGAACTCAATTTATCAACCTTCGTATGCCTTCCTTTGCAATTGTTAGTAAACTGGTAGCAGCATTTCACAAAAGGAGAATTTAAAGGAAAGAGCTGTGCAGAACCAGCTCCCTCACACCCTCTGCTCGTTGGGCCTGTTTGTCCAGGACAGGAGGCTCTCTCCGGCTTTAAGTGGCATAGCGTCTGCCGGTTTTGCTAACTGCGGATGTAAAAAGCATTTTTAGCAAAACTGTACTCAGTCTAGGCAGACGTAAGGCAGGATGTTCAATCTACCATCATCCCCATGCGGATCTAAAGATATGCACTGCGTCCAATCATACCAGTTACCCTGTGTGTCATAACAACCGTTCACGCCTGGCCAGTGATGTTCACGTATTCTGTCGAGGTCATCACTCGTGACCTCTCTGGTGACCCCAGGCAAGTCTGTAGGTTTGCTGTTAGGAGCTAGAACGTGAGTCTTTCTAGCCTCTTTTCTAGTGCTTTCCTCCTGCTTTAAATATTCAGACATGAAGTAGTGAGCTCCTGGAGTCTGTACTCCTGATGAAGACAGCAAGCTACTCTGTCTGTTTAAATATGACTGA